CGAGTCAATTTTACACTCTTATCAATGTAAATGTTAATATGTCAATGTGAATATTCACATTGTCAACAGGCCAGGCCGGGCCCGTCTCGGGCCGCCCACGGGCCGTGGGCTAGTTTCGGGCAACCACTGGGCGCGGGCTAATTTTATACTCTTATCAATGCGAATGTTAACATGTCAATGTGAATATTTGCATTATCAACGGGTCGGACCGGGCCCGCCCAGGGCAGCCCACGAGCTGCAGGCGGGTTTCGGGTCGGCCACAGGCCGCGGGCTAATTTTACACTCCTATCAATGTGAATGTTAACATGTCAATGTGAATATTCACATTGTCAACGAGCCGGGCCGGACCCGTCCCGACCCGGGCCCGGGGCCAGGCTTCGGGCTGCCCATGGGTCATAGGCCAATTTTACACTCTTGTCAATGTTAATGTTAATGTTAATATGTCAATGTGAATATTCATATTGTGAACGGGCCCGCCCAGGGCGACGGGCTGGTTTCGGGCCGCCCACGGGCCGTAGGCCAATTTTACACTCCTATCAATGTGAATGTTAACTTGTCAATGTGAATATTCATATTATCAACGGGCCGGGTCGGGCCTATTTTTTTGGCTTATGGGCCGGCCCGGCCTGACTCGAATTTTTCCGGGCACCCACGAGGATCGACATGAGCCGGGCCCCTACACATTGACGATATAAACATTTATATTGACAGTGTGAAGATTCATATTAAGGGTGTTTTGGTAATTATGTCACCCATAGGACTTATTGAAACATAAGAAAATAATGTGAACTAAATGAAACATAAGTAGATGAAAATGGTATTTTGGTCTTCTTATCTCAAATTGGACCTAATGGAATAGTAAAAAAGAATATGGGTTGGATGGAATAAAACTCTTAGAAAATGGATTTATCAAAAAAACTCCAAATTATAAATATATGAGGGTGCAAGTATATCTATGATGGAATACAAATGAAAGGCTCTTGCACCCCTTCTATATATTGATAATTTTTTTTTTCTAACTCCTACATGCATAGTTCCTCTATAAATAAATAAATAATAAAATAAAAAGAAGATTAGGTAAGGTATGGAAAGGATAAAGTGAACATGGGTGGTCATAGAATAACTATTTTTTTTATTTTTTTAGTTTTTCTTTTGAACAAGTCATAGGATACTATTACTATATGGAGAAAATGATGTTTCTTTTAAGGAGAGGGATTCCATCCAATCTTAAACTGTTATTATAGGGGGAAAATGACGTTTCTTTAAGGAGGGGATTCCGTGCAATCTAGAATTTGGATCAGTCCAAAATTTGAATTGGAAAGAGTTGTTTATCGTTCATTTTTTTAAATGAAAAACATGATAAATTAAATAAATTACAATTATCAAATCGATATAATTTTTTTTATAAATAAAATAATAAAGTGCCTAATAAATTGAACAATTCAAATTATCGAAACAGAATTTGTAACAAACAACTCTCTCCAATTCAGATTTTTTTTTGGGTGAATAATCCAATTCAAATTTTGAACAAAAGGACATCCTCATTTTTTTTTTGGTGAATAATCCAATTCAGATTTTGAACAAAAGGAAATCCTCATTTTTAAAAGGACCATTCACAGTACAGTGACCGTTGGACTATTCAATGATCCTCTAATCTCCCATGCAACCATTAACAATTAATTAATAGTTCACATTACTAGACACCTAATTGATGTACATGAACATGGATTACTAACTATTTTAATAATAAGGTGAAATTCAATTTAAATTACGACTTAGATCTCATTTAGTAACTTATTATTCTAATTTAAAAGTTAAAAAATTATTAAAAAAATTAAAAAATCAACAATTTATATCAAAAAATCAAATTTTTTTTTTTTTTTACTTTTTGTATATTTTTTTAAATTAAAATATCATTCTAAATATATTAATTTTTTTATCTTATATTTTAATTAAAAATTATTAAAATAACATACGAAGCCATCAATGACTAGGTAAGCAATAATCTAACAGGTATATCCGTACATGTGTTTCTGTGCTATGACTAAAGTTATATGTACTCCAGCATTACTCATTTCAAAAATACTAGAGGTCTCAAAAATTTTACCAAAAGTTTTATCAAATATTTCACATGGGTGTGAGACTCACATGGGACCCACATTGTGTGGGTCCCACACCCATGTGAGACATTTGGTAAAATTTTTGGTAGAATATTTGGGATCTCTAGCATTACTCCACCAATTTTGTTATTGGAAAAAGATTGAGGCCTCCAATGCGGCTCGGATAGTTTTTTTTATTTTTTTTCGAAATTGTGTTGGTTTGGATGTTTTTATTATTGTTATTATTTTTATTTGTTGGGTTGTGTTAGTTTAGTTGTTTTTATTTATTTATTTATTTATTTGTTGGGGTTTTTTTTTTTTTTTGTAAGGATGGTTATGTGTAGGAGTGGGTTTAGAGTTTATGATTTAAGGTTCAGCTTTTTATTTCTTCTGAGTCTTTCTGATTTGAAATAAAAATATAGTAAGGACTCGTACAAAACTATATGAAATTAATAAATTTTAACCAGTAGTCTAACTAATTAGTCAATTTTATCACCCAATCAGTCTAACCCAACTCAATAATCTTATCAAACTACATAGGCTAAATAATTGTTGTTGTTGTTGTTGTTGTTGTTTTTTTTTTTTTTTTTTTTTTTTTGTTTTTTTTTTTTTTTGGATAGGCAAAAAATAATTTTATTGATAACACCAAAAAGTTAGACATTACATCAATAAAATTGAAGGACTTTAGGAAGAAGTGAAGTAGGACTAAACTAAGCATCCCAACTAGGTTGGCATACTAAAAAAGTTTAGATACAAACTAACCCAAAGAGAACACTAGGTGTGAAGATGGTAAGGCACTAACCATAACACCAGAACAAAAAGAGAAGAAATAGCACTCAAAAGGGTGAAGGAAATGGTCGAATCATCTGGGATTATGTCTGGGCACCCTTTTTTTCTTTTTCTTTTTTTCAGTTGATTTGTCTCACTTTATGTAAGTGAAGGATGAAATCGAGAAGCCAACATAGCCAAATGAAGTCCTAGACCAAAGTGCCATTTGAATTTTGATGACTTCTATTGTTTGAACCCAGCTATGCACACATTGGTTGAAGAGGGCATTATTCTGACAAAGCCATATGTTCCAATAGGTGCAAGCAAAAAAAGCATCCCAAATGGTCTTTTTGAAGCTTTTATACTTTGAATTGAGTTTGAAAAATCTTAAAAACCCTCGAGATGTTAATTCGTGATTATATTTCAATTTTAAATAGTGAATATCAATCACAATCAAACAATCAACGTTAAATCGGCACAACAATTTAACGTAAAAAAAATCACAATTGGAGCACCTCCAACTGTAAAAAAAAAAAAAAAAAAAAAAAACCCTAAAAAAAAAAAAAAAAACCAAAACCAAAAAAAAAACCCAAAAAAAAAAAAAAAAACAAAAAAAAAACCAACTTTTCGAGGCAAATTCGCACCTCTTTTTTCAAGGCCTTTAGCACGGTTGTTTGTTATTTTAGCTAGTTTCAAGCTCAAAAATGAGTCTCCAACAGTTTCACCAGAAGCTTGTTAAAATGACTTTGAGCTACAGTAACTCGTCAAAGAAAGATGAGGCATTGTGCTCTAGCCTCATAATTTTTTATTATTTTCTTCGTTCCTCGCATTGATCTCTGGCCAGGTGTGCTCTTCAAAAAATTTTTTTTGTTTTTTTTTTAAGAAGAAAGAATGAAAAATAATATTTGAAAGAAGAAATATAGCTAAATAGATAGCCTTGTTGAAATGTATATTAAAAAAATGACCAATTAAAATAGTAAAGTAAAATTTTAAATAGCTATTTTGACTATCCTTGCTGGAGATACTTTTAGTATTGATGATTCTCTTATGAAGTTGTTACAAATTGATACACTTCGTTTGTTTATTTCGATGTAAAATATTTGTTTTATAAATTAATTTTACAAAAGAAAATATTTTTGTTTTTGTTTTTTTGACATTAAGTTGACACTTGAAATAAAAATATTTTATTGCCTTAAAGATAAATTTTGATTCAATAAAATATTATTCATGACTTTTTAGCGAGTTAAAATATTTATTTGAAAAGACGAAATATATTGAAAAAGTAATGAGTGAGAGTTAACTTTATAAAAATTGGCTTACGAAATTTTTAAAAATCATTTTTGGGAAAATAATACAAAAATATTTTCTTTAAAAAATGTTAATTTACTTTTTGTTCAACCAAATAATAGAAAATGAGTAAAATATTTTTGACAAAAACATTACGAGTCAAAACATGGGGAGCCTTAAAAAATCACGTGATTTTAGGTTCATCATAAAATAAGGTTACATTTATGGTTGATTATTTTTATTTGAGTACAATATGAAAAGAGTTGCAATATAATAGTGAGATGTAACACTTCAATTATAAATGCATATGTAAAATATCAAAGTATCACTTCAATTATGAATACATCTATCTATACTATATATTAAGCAAAATGAAGTTTTTAACCCTAAAGTTTGTGGGAGTTTCAATATCCCAATCTGAATTTTCTAAATTTCTTATTGAAAAAAAAAAACTCAGTATTTATTGATTTGGTCAAAATCTCCTGAGCATCATTTATTAACTTTTTTCAATCCACATGTCTTTTCACGTGCCTGCATTTATTGATTTGATCAAAATTCATGATCAGCATTTAAAATCTCATCATACAAATAATTATAGATACAATCCGTGTATAATTACTACAGTACCTTTTTCAACTTCTTCCATACACTATGGTTAGTGATAAAATTGTTAAATTATTTTCATAAAAAATCTTAAAAAACATAACTTATATATTAAGAAAAATCTAAAAACGTGATAGGCTAGTATGTAAAATATCAAAGTGTCTTCACTACAGATTTTGATTAAGGATTAGTACGTATCAGGATTTGACACTCCAACAACCGTCTCCTTAGGCATCAGTTTAAAAAGAAGTGAGGCCATAGTTATTACACTATCCACCTATGGCTAATCTTGCTGCATTATGTGTGGCCTTTCTCATCCTTGTGGTTGGCAAAGTGCAAGGCAGGTTTCTGAGACTCAACTCTTCTGAGTTGTTAGTCTCAGATGGAGTAGACCATGTTGATTATCAACCTCCATTTCTTAGCTTGAATGGCATGTTCTCATCCTCAGAGACTTGTGAACACTACTATGGCTTCCTTCCATGTGCAGACAACATTGGTGGCTATCTTTTCCAGATAGTGGTGTATAATTACTTGTTGGCTAGTGGGGAGAAGTTTTTAACAATGGGTAGCAAGCAGCTCTTCAACATCATTGGCACTGGTTTCTTTGGTGATGTTTTTGAAATCCTCATGGTGTTACCAGAAATCATGGTTTCCCTAAGTAAGTTTTTCTTATCTCATCACTATTTCTTTAATTGTTTTCTTGTGCTTTTACATGGAAAAGGCCTCTCCAGTAATGGGTAAGGGTTGCATACACCTTGTCCTCTCTAGACTCGGTTTTAACAGGAGTTTCGTGTATTGGGTCACACTTTTTTGCCTTGCCCTCTCTAGACTAGGTTTCAACAGGAGGAGTCATCCTTTTTTCCTGAGACATCTTCAATTGGGGGTATGTGGATTCTGGTGTTAAATAACTCAAGGCATGAAATGGAATTGGATTGAACTTGCTATTTCCACACCTTTGTAGTTCATTGAAGTGAATTAAACAAGCACGACACATTAGACTTTTGTTACACTTGATTTGCAGAATAAGACTTATGAGAGCTGATATTTTTATTTACTGACAAGTTGAAATTGTTTGTGTTACATTTTGACTGAACTAAGAGCATTTTGTTGGAAACCCTTTATACCCAACACAAATTTGAACAGTTGGGATCCCCGTCCACAAAAGCTCTGTCCTCGATGCATTCCAAGCCGTACAATCATGCCCACATCGTGCAGCTTGGAGTCTGTTGGAGACAGGGGGGAGGGAGTTTGGAGAGAGAGTATCTCGTGCTCATTTGAACAGTCCAAACTACAATGGGATGAACTAGAAGTGCCTCTAATCATTTCATTTGCTTCACATTTCAATTCACATTTGCAGTTTCTGGACTTACTGAAGACGATGCTCAGTCACGAGTTTCAGTTGCAGTTGGCATGTATGCCGGGTCCACCGTGTTTTGCCTTACATTGCAGTGGGGAATGTGTGTCATTTTTGGCAGAAAAGGCTTCACCACTGAGAAATCAAATTCCCAAGATTCAGAACCACCCTCAACTTCAAAACCTTCACTAATCAAAGAAAAATTATTCTTCTTAACCGGTTTGTTACATTCATACCCAATATTTAACGCACCTCTGATAATTCAGACAAGCTTAGCTATGAACTAGACTTGATTTTTTTTCTCATCTTTACAGACTCCGGTATTACAACTGACAAAAAGACTAGTTATACAGCAGGATCAGCTTCTTTCTTGATTCCATTTATCATAGTGCAACTATCTAATATTGTCAACACTTCATCTGGAAGTCGCCTAGTGCTTTTGATAGCACTCATAGTATCAGTATTGGGATTAATCTCATACTTCATGTATCAGGTATATATTCTAAATAAGCAATCATTATTTGTTTAAAGCCTAAATTGCCATGGAAAATTGCAGTTTTATGGCATAGCCCATATATATTTGCAGATTTTTGATCCATGGATTCAAGAAAGAAGTCTAGAATATGCAAAATACGAGAACCTGCTGGCAGGATTTTTGCATCATTTTCAAAGGCACGCTCAAGGAAAGCTCGTTACCAATGAAGGATCACCTAATATTCCGGTCATCAAAAGGTTAGCTCTTGACATTTCAAATAAAGAAGCAAAAATAACAGCATTGCCTTGAGAAGAACCCAAAAAAAAAAAAAAAAAAGAGTGCTTAATTTTAAATTTGTTTTGCAGTCTTTTTGCTCGAATTGATAAAGATGGAGACCAGACTGTATCAGTTTCTGAATTGGAAGCTCTAATACTGGATATTAAGTCAGGAAAAGCAAATGTAGAGAAAGAGTATGCAGTAGCAGAAGTACTAAAGACATTTGATGTGAACAAAGATGGAACCATAACTGAGGATGAGTTCATTGAGGGATGCAAAAAATGGATACATGAAGCCAAGCAATTAGCCGAAGATGGAAGTTCTCACACAAGGAAATCCTTACGCCAGGCAACCAAACTCTTGTTAAATGCTAATCATATAGGACCTTAGTTAAACAAGTAGTTTAAATTATTTACTACTTCCACCCCATTTGTTTCAATATAAAGTGTTTTATAACGCAAAAATATTTTATATGCAGGTTGTGCAGCCATGGATTGAGACAAAACGAGATGCACTTGCCAAGATTGAGCGTCTAATGTCAAGAATTTTGAAACACGTCCAAAACAAAGCTCTTGAAGCAGAAGGACTTCTCACTGATGATGGAAGACCTAACATAGATCGCATGAAAAGGTTAGCCTTCAAAAGTCACCTCTATTGTTTTTACTTTTTTTCTTTTTTTAATATAATTTTAATTGATGTTCTTCTTCGTTACAATTATTGGTTTTGCAGTCTCTTTGATGAATTTGACTCAAATAAGAACAAATTTATATCACAAGAGGAGTTGAAAGAAGTAATCCAACATATTAAATTTGGAAATGTAAAATTCGATCACGATGTGGTAGTAGCGGAAGTGATGAATGATTTTGACAAAAACGGTGACCTCATGATCAGCGAAGAAGAATTTGTCAATGGAATCACAAAATGGGTTGACAAGGCCACCCGCGTGGCCAATTCCAATGACACGAAAAGGTTCATTGATGAATTCGATCAGGTAATTAATAGCATCATCCTTCATGATCTGATATGATCTGTTAAAAAAATAAAAATAAAAAACCCAAGTTCTATACTGATGCTTTTGCACAAGTAAGTGATGTATTTACGTAGCCTTGCATTTGAATTTGCAGATTGCATGGAAAGAAGTCGACTCGGTAGTGTATAACGTAGAAGAGAACAGAAGCATCATTCACAAGTTACTATCATGGGATTGCCTAAAGTCTGTGCTCCAAATCATATTAGGTGTCGCGATTGTGACCTTTCTTGCAGAGCCACTGATATACAGTACCTTAGACTTATCGGTTGCTCTAGGCCTGCCTACTTTCTACATCTCTTTTGTGATAATTCCCATCGCCTTGAAATTCAAGTTGGCTGTATCAGCAATATTTCCCGCGAGTCAAAAGAGCTTAAGAACTGCTTCCTTGACATTTTCAGAGGTCTGTCTCTCCTTTTGTTTCATGTTGTATCTTTAAATTCTATGGAAATGTCACTGAAGTGTTTAATTTGTTTGTTGAGTGCAGATTTATGGTGGAGTGGTCATGAACAATATCACCGGCTTGTCAATACTTCTAGCAATCGTTTATACAAAAGGCTTGACATGGGATTATTCGGTTGAAGTGCTGGCGGTTTTGGTGGTTTGTGGTATCATTGGTTTTCTTGCATTCTTCCGTTCCACCTATCCACTCTGGACTTGTATCATGGCATTTTTGTTGTATCCGTTTTCTCTGGTGCTGGTTTATTTCCTTCACTATGCTGTCGGTTGGGACTAAACCTTGTTGGGCTCTTCTCCCTAATCAGGCTTTCAACTTTAATTTCCTATTTTTGTTGTTGGTTAGAGAAAAAATGACAAACAAGCTTTGAATTTGTAAGCTCTTTTAAAATAATAATAAGAAGAAGAAAGCAAATTTGAGAAGGAAATGCCTAGTCATTGATTTCCTCTATATCAAACACATTCATCAACAATTTCAACATGAAGTGCCTTCTAAGTTCTAATTCAGCTTTCTTTGAGAAATGCCACCATTGGTTCATTGAAGATATCTAATGAGAGTTTTAGGTTGAGATCAGCACCACCCCCTCCTCCAGTCTCACATCTCCTTTCAACAGAGCTTGTGCTGGTTTCTATACATCCCACTTGACTGTTTGCTGTTAAAATCCTATAGAATGGTTTTCCATTACTTGATCCACTATGCCCTGATGATTGAATTGACTCATCTATGCTTTCCTGCCAAACAAAAAAAAAATTGAAAAATCTTATAACAACATCAATGGGTTTAATTAAAAAAAAAAACAGAATATATCTATTTTGAACTGCTTGTCTCCAGTTTGGGTTTGAATTAGACCGAGCTGTCAAAACATCAAGATTGCAACAAATCAAAATTTGATGGCAAACAAAGGCTCAGATTTGTCCACCCACTCACAACCACAACATTGGGGCTGTAAATACTGACCCGAAAGATATTGGTATGTTTGAGTGGATGCCCAGATAAGGGACTTTGTTTGTCACGAAATGCTGACAAGTCGCAATTTTGGTGGTCAGACTGCTTGGTCCAATTTAAATCTGAATTGGAGAGAAGCCAAGCTCTTCTATCTCTTACTTGGAGTGGGAGTGAATAGAATCCAGAAAATTCATCACTAAAGGTTTCTGCAGGATGTGAAGAAGTTGCAGGAAGGCCTAATGTGAGGAAATTGGCATCAAGGGTTCCACAATCCGTATCGCCTTTCTTTGGGTTCAGCTTAGGCTGAACTTCTTTCTTCAAGTCTCTGACAATTCAGGCAACAACAACAATAAAAAGACACAATTTGAGCTAACAACTCAAATTTGGTAGCACAATATGATAAACAACTAACCCAACCTGAAGGAGAATGTTGGCTTGTTGAGTTCAGAACCCCTTGTGGTGCCATAACCACATGAAGATGGTGGATCTGTCTGGCCATCATCATCAACGGAGGAAGTCCAACGCCGCTTTATGCCAACAGTCTATATCATGTAGTAACCAAATTTGGCATCAGAAACTGAACTATTTTCACAATCTCATTTCCTTTTTAGACAGATTCAGTTGATTTCCAATAGATTCAGAAAAGAAAACTGTGAGGATCAATCAACTGATAATAACACCCCCATTTATCCATTTTCATATCCAATTAAGAGAAAAGAGGGCCAAAAACATTGTTAAGAACCTACTAGAAATTGTTTGATGACCCAAAAAAAGTAGTACTGGAAAATGACTTCAGAAAACAGAAAAACAGAAAACGAAAACATAATGAAACAGGCAAATCAGTTACTGAAACAAAGACGGGTGGGGAATTTTTGCATGCCTTTTCTTCCTCTGGCCAAGTGGATGTGTAATTATAAGATCTTTGGTTTGAAGGGGGCTCTATTTTGTGATTCATTCCACTGTCTATCTGCAAATAACATAAGTTCTCAATAGAACTCTTAAATTCACAATTTGGACAGAGAGAGAGAAGAAAAGGAGTCACAAATTAAGAAGTGATTTTTACCACCCAAGGTGGGTATCGACAATGTTTGCTTGGCAGCATGGGAGGGGAAGGCCAAATTCCACTTTTTTTCTCAGGAAAATGCATGGGAAAATCGAACCCAGAACTAAATTTGAAACATTCCCCATCAGAATTCGACTCATGAGAGCTCCACATTGATGACAAATTCTCATGGCCAGACAAAATCCTGGCTGACCCGCCACCTGCACCACCACCACCACCACCACTGCCACTTAGTGTTGAAAGAGGCGGAATAAGATGATCAGAATTATCAATCACTGGCAAATGTCTAGTAATAAAATCCATTGAAGAGAGGTTGTTTATGGGTGTCGTCAGGGGTGGCAGTGCCACCGGTGGAGGTGGTATTGGTGTCGGAGGATGGTGAGGATTGTGTGGTGAGCCCATCAAGCTTGAATATACCCCTTTTATAACTTTGTTTTCATCCATATTCTGATCTTTCTCTCTCAAAATTTTTTCAAGTTGTGCCACTCCTAGCCCTCTTTGTGGTGGTGCTTTTGGCAGCTTGGGCTTCTTTGCACTTCTACTCCACCCACCACCACCACCATCACCACCGCCGCTACCACCGACACCGACACCTCTCAGGCTCTTTTCTTGGTCATGTACCATTGTTCATGAATGAAAGCAATTAAACTTGGAATATCAAAATGGTGGAAAACCCAAGTCCGGAAATTCAGAGAGTAACAAAGAAGTCTGTTTTCAAGATCACAGAATCTAAAAAAGCAAGAAAAGAAACTGAAAGCTGATATGGTGGAGCAGACAACGGAAAGCTGTGTAAAAATGAAATGTGGGAATAAACAGAACCAAGCGAGCTTCCCAAGTTTTGTTTATCAGCCTATGTTGTATGTCCAAGAAAACAAATCAAACCCGGAATGCAAGGGAGTTTTCAAAGCACCGAAATCCAAGCCTATGGTCTAGAACCCATTGACACCATAAATTCATGTTTTACATGGTCTTTATGGCTTCAAAATCTCTCTAAATCTTTGCATACTTGTTTGGGAAAACTTTAGAGCCCAATTTTTTTTTTTTTTTTTTTTTTTTTTTTTTTTTTTTTTTTTTTTTGTCTTTCCGTAAAAATTTAAAAAAAAAATTAGCTGTTATTTCCTAAATTTTTATTTAAAAAAAAAAGTAGAAATTAGGGATACCAAAATTTGTAGAGTTTGAATGAAACCAAAATTAGTATACCAACAAAATTAGTATACTAACAATTTGCTTGTTAATTAAAGTTTTTTATATATATTGGAAATTGGGTCGGGTTTACAATCCATACCTGATTGAGTCGCCTATAGTGACACGAAACATGACCCATTGAAAAATCATGTTAAGAGAGAATCATTTTGGTTCAACTTATCCTGCAGATAAATGCATATAACCCATTATCTCATCTCTTAAGGAAATAGAGTTGTGGATGGTTATAATTCTCCCACATAATATACCTATTATATTTGGGAGAGTAAGAGTCTTTGATAACATGATTTAGCACTTAAAACTGAATTAATGAAGTGATAATCAATTAAATCCGTTTGATAACCATAACTGATATCACTTAAAATTTTAAGTGCCTCTTAAAATGCAGGCTAAAATTTAAGAAAATTTTAAGTCATATAAAGCTTACTAATTCTAACTCAATTTATAAATACTAAATATAAGTACTAATATACACTATTATAAACTCACCACTACCATCACCACCACTACCACCATTAGTACCACCACCATCACTACCGCTACCACCATCATTACCACCATGTCACCGCCACCACTACCATCATTACTACAATCACCACCACCTTCAAGCCACCACAACTACTACCACCACCACCACTATTACCACTACCACCACATCACTACTGCTACCACCACCACCACCACCACCATGCCGCCACTACTATCATCACCTTCATCACCATTGTCATTATTGTCATAAATACCACCATCATTTACTACCACTACCATTGCTACCACGACTGCCACCACCATGCCACTACCACTACATCTACCACCACCACCACTATACCACTGCCACCACTACCATTACCACTACCACCATCACAATATAAAAATTAAAATGTTTAATTTAAAAATAATAAATTTTAAATTTGATTTTATACATATCAAACAATTTATTTTTAATTTAGCACTTAAATTTTGTTCAAACAACTTTTCAACTTAAAAAATTTAGTATTCAATTTTTAATACTTAATTTTCAGTTTTCAGTTTTTAGTTTTCAATTTTATCAAGCAGCACCTAAGACTGTAACCGTATGGGTAATCAATATCTGTTTTTTTTTCTCTCTCCATAGAAACAGAAAATAGCTTTTGTACTGCGATTAGTGTGGGTACTTTTCTAGTAGTTTTACCCACTACTGGGAGAGGCACGCGATTTACCCACATAATTCATGGATTCGGTTTGAGCGTAAAAGGTCTGCCTGAATCTGTATATTTATTTCTGCTATATTATTTCTTATTTTCCTACATTGGTATTAGAGTTATTATTGGGTGTTTTCGTATTTTTTTATGTATGAAATATGATTTAAATCATGTATGCAGTATTAAAATATTTATACATATTTTTCATGCAAGAAAATTGATAGTTTTCAAACTATCTCTGATTGTTTTGAATTTTACATATGTTGTAGTCTATATTATTTAGACCACATCAGCAAAGTTTTAAAAAAATCGGACGGTTGGATTTTGATAAAAAGTTATATTTATATTTGATTTTTGTAACTTTAAGTGCATGTTGTTTTTACATGTTTCGTTTTCATGTTGTAAAAATTATATATTTGAAATCTTTGTTTCGAGACCTTCAAAACAGTAAATTATGGGCTTGATTCCAACTTACGAATTAAGAGAAATCACATAAACAAGATAATAAACAACTACCAACATCCACGGACACATGTCCGGATCACTATACAACAAGGGTAAACCTGGGATCGCTATAAATATAGATTCGTTTTTGTATTTTTGGTGGTTCATTGGAGAAGATAAAGTGCAGAAAACTGCACTCCCACTTTCACTAGAGAGAGAGTGGATTTCACTCCCTATTTTAGACATGTCAAAATAAAAAACTTAGACAACCATTGAATTCCTCTCGAAAAATCAAGTCAGATAATGCCAAAATCGAACCTAAACAGAATCTAGGAGGTGGCGCGTGAGACTTACGAGTAGACAGTCTTCACGCACCCAATACGCTGATTTGGCTTACTGACAAGTGTTGACGCGCGTAGACTGACGCGCTAACACGTACATATGACGCACGTTGACGTCATTGACGATGCAATCTAATGATGTCATCCGCTGATGTAAGCACTGATGCAGGCGGGCTGTTGGGGCTTTGTTTGTTTGTTTTAATTTTAAAACTACGTTAATTGCTTCTAAATTGTTCGTTATAATT